ACTGATGTCCTTCCTTTATACGTATGTATGTGACAGTACTTAATAACAGTATGGTCAATATGAAAGCATCTAAATGAGTGATTAGTAACAATATTAGTGATTAATACTGTTATTAATTTGAACACAAGCATAGGCTTGAATGAAAAGCAGAATACAGAAAGGATAATACATTATTCTCCCTTCTTTGCTTATTCTCATGCATAGAATGGAAAATAAATCATTTCACATATCTCAGTTTACATTTAAGGAGTCACATGGGATGTGAATTTGGCCATTGCCTTTCATCAAAGGATTTCTAAGAATCTCGTAAGCATACTCAGTAATCCTCTAAACACTCTTGTGAAGTTGTAGCTGGCAATATTATCATCTCTAATATAGTGAGGAATAAATGGAACCACTGAAATACTAAGTGATATTTTTATCTTCCACTCAGAAATTTCTTACTACTTTACAGGGCAGTGTTATTATCAACTTTATGAAGCTTAGTGAGATTATGTGATTTGCCCAACCTTGGGGAAGAATTTAGCATAGCATGAAGGCTCCCTGACTCTTAACTGCTTTACTAAGTTTGTTCTTCACCCCCCATCCCTCCCCTCAGTCCTGCTATTCAAAATCATATTTAAACTAATGTCTTAAAAGTTCTGTAAGAGAACGTCAAATCGTATAATTTTGTGATCTTCTGCGATGTCATTCCTGATTTTTGATTAGGAATCAAATGATAGGGATTTTTTTTCCTGGAATAATTTCTTTAATCGTGTAACTGGTGTTAGTCAATAACATTGTGTAATGAAACTCATCTACTTGTTCTGTTCTGATGAACCAGAGAATTCTATTCAGGATACTACCATGTGTTAAGCTAAATAAAAAAGAGGAAGACAGTCTTAGAGAATAATGCAATTATACAAACATAGTTATGCTCTCTGTATATAAAATTGCATGTCAAATGTTTTATCTTTTTAAAATTCTCACAAGCAGCAATTCGGGTAGCAGCCAGAATTTTCATCCCAGTGAATCTAAACCTAGTACACCTAGAAATAGAATATAACTTGTAAATTATGGGCATAGGTGTAAATTTGGGTAAGTTGGAAGTTAGAAGTCACCTACAGAGATTATAAGGTGTTACCTATAAGAGGGAGGTAATTAGGACACAGTAGGTAGATATCCTTTTTAAAATTATCTATTTTTAAATAGTGCTAAGTTATACATAACAAAATTTATTATTTTAATCATTTTTAGGTGTTCAATTAAGTGACATTAAGAATGTTTGTCTTGTACAACCATCACCACCATTCATCTCTAGATTTTTTTTTGTCTTGTAAAACTGAAACTCTCTACCCATTAAACAGTAATTTCTCATTCCTCACTCCCTCTAGCCACTGGCAACCACCATTCTATTTTTGTCTCTATGAACTTGACTACACTCCTATGAGTGGAATCATATAATATTTGTCCTTTTGTGACTGGCTTATTTTACTTTGCATAATATCTTCAAAGTTCATCCATGTTGTAGCATGTGTCAAATTTCCTTTCTTTTTTAAAGTTGAATAATATTTCGTTTTATGTATATATCACATTTTGTTTATCTCTTCACCTGTCAGTGGATATTTGCATTGCTTTTCTACCTTTTGGCTATTGTGAGCAATGCTGCTATGAACATTGGTGTACAAATACCTGTTTGTGTCCCAGCTTTCAATTATTTCTCAAAGTGGAATTGCGGAATCATACAGTAATTCTATATTTAATTCTTTGAGGAACTGCCATACCGTTTTCCATAGGTACTGAACCATTTTACAGTTTCACCAGCAGTGCACAGGGATTCTAGTTTCTCTACATCCTCACCAACACTTGTTATTTATTTATTTATTTATTTTAATAGTAGCCATCCTAATAGGGGTAAAGAAGTATCTTATTGTGGTTCTGATTTGCATTTTGCTAATGATTAGAGATGTTGAGCATCTTTTCATGTCCTTATTGGTCATTAGTGTATCTCTTTGGAGAAATGTATATTCAAGTCCTTTGTCCAGTTTTGTGTGCTCCCTTTTTAAAGCCAAGATAGCAGCCACAGGAGCTGCTTATAACTTTACAGAACTACCAAAAAGATATCACTTTGGTTAGCTAATACTGGTAGCAAAAGAGTAAATAGTTTAGGAAAATACTCATATATCTAATCAGATTTTATCTATTCTTCCTTCATGTGTTTCATCTATCTCCTCTATTCCTACTGTTTCCTAATCAATTTATTATATTCTCATGATTGTATTGTAAAAGAGTGGTTGGCCCAGTTCTAAAAAAATGTTAAGAATAGATGGTCGCAGGCCGGGCGCAGTGGCTCAAGCCTTTAATCCCAGTACTTTGGGAGGCCGAGGCGGGTGGATCACGAGGTCAAGAGATCGAGACCATCCTGGTCAACATGGTGAAACCCCGTCTCTACTAAAAATACAAAAAATTAGCTGGGCATGGTGGCGCATGCCTGTAATCCCAGCTACTCAGGAAGCTGAGGCAGGAGAATTGCCTGAACCCAGGAGGCGGAGGTTGCGGTGAGCCGAGATGGCGCCATTGCACTCCAGCCCGGGTAACAAGAGTGAAACGCCGTCTCAAAAAAAAAAAAAAGAATAGATGGTCATAAACTCTGTAGTGGGTTTGCTCTTCCTTCCCCTTCTTTAATTCCCTTCTCCTCAATTCAATAAAGATTTATTACGCCCAGGACTTGAGATCTGAGTTTCTTTCCCTCAAGATGTGTGATGGTAGGCAAGTTGCACAAACTATTTTCCCTACTGGCTGAACTAAGTGATTTCTTAGATTTCTTCTAGTCTTGTCTATTAGATCTTTTAAGGATTCTTTTAAGTAGTATAACTTTTGTTTATTAGATGTGTGAATTACCTGAATACTGCATTACCCTCAGTAAATAATACTTTCAGATTTTCACCAAGCATAAAGTGGGAGATGACAGCCTATTTTAACTCAGCTTACTTTCTTATTTATCCTTTTTTATGTATTTCCTTGGGTTTCTTAGATGAACCTGGGGCCTAATCTGTAAACTTCTTAAAAGCAAACATTTGTTTACTTTCTCTAAGAATTAGCCATTGATAATAAAGCAATATTTTGAACAGTTAATAGCAGGATGGAATTTGTTTCCTTCTAAAAGATAGTATTGTATTTTAATAACATTTAGGAACAAAGGATAAGAAATACCATATTGCTTAACTTATTTTTTTTTAATTTCTATTTTCTTTTTTAAATTTTTTAAATGAGACAGAGTTCCCTTTTTGTTGCCCAGTCTGGAGAACAATGGCACGATTTTGGTTCACTACAACCTCCACCTCCTGAGTTCAAGCGATTCTCCTGCCTCAGCCTCCAGAGTAGCTGGGATTACACCCCTGGCTAATATTTTGTATTTTTAGTAGAGATGGGGTTTTGCCATGTTAGTCATGCTGGTCTCAAACTCCTGACCTCAGGTGATCCGCCCGCCTTGGCCTTCCAGAGTGCTGGGATTACAAGCCTGAGCCACTATGCCCAGCCTAATTTCTATTTTTGAAGTGTTATAAATACTAGAACATCTTACATACCCAAATAGGGCAATATATATTCCAAAGCTAAGTATAAATTTTAAAAAAATTGTCTGCATTTTAATTTATCTGTACCTTTATTCTCTTGCCTCATTGGGAAATCAGATTAAATTGATATTAAGTGCATTTCTAAAAGTATAAATAATTCTTTAAACTAGTTTAATCTCAAGAAATGTTGTGATACGCTAATGTTGATATAATAGCAAAATAATCTGCTTTTAGAATAGATTAAATTTTTGTATTTAATATTTATTGTTCAGTAATTTTCTTAGATTGACCATCTCTTCTATTTTTTCTTATTCCTTTCTTTGTAAATCAGTAGTTATGAATAGTCATTTTCTAATATCAATACAAACGTTTGCAGGGATTTCTGTAATACAGCCTTTATAATACAATCTTTTTGCTTTATGTTCTAATTCTTTAATATTTTAATTCTATTTCTCAGGAATCAAGAAAATACTTTTAACACTGTATTTGTCACTGAGAAAACTAGTTTTAATTTATATTGACCTTTTTCTCCTTTGAGCATTTAGTCTGCATTCAATAAAATGTTGATGACTGCTCTTTAGAAGACAGCTGTATGAAATAAAGTATTATAAATATTCAGCTTTCCTTTCTAAGCATTGTCACCAACAGCTGGGCATCCAGTTTAGCAGAACAGATTTTGCACACAGAGAGCCTGGCATGTTCCTGAATCAGTTTAGTGAAGGAAACAAAAAATAGTTTCTTATGGATTGGGGACTTATAAAGACATAGAGCATCTGTTCCTCAGTTAAGTCATAGTCTGGTTGCACTGAATCATGTTTAAAGCTAGACTAATGTGCAAAAGTTTTTTTCACTTTGCTCATACCTTTAACCCTAGTGGACTGTTTCTGTATTATACTTTCAGCAACTCCACTGAAAGTGTATAAATTATTTTGCTCGTATGTATGATATTGTAATAGTGGTATTTTAAAGCAGACAAATATATAACTTTTATAAGACTTTTTATAATATGACTGAAGTTTAAATTGTATGGTAGTCCATGTATCTATAACTGCATATATTTTTAAAAGTAACTCATTTAAATATTTAATTATGATCTCATTTAGAGATATGCAATTAGAATCAAACCTGTCATAAGCTTTCTTCATATGGTATTCTGCTTTAATAAATAATATAAAATTGGTTAGCAGAACTAACCAATAAAGATTAGTATGTAATAATAAAGATGATATACAATATATATTACATTAATAACTATACAATGTTATATTAATATAGTGTATTAATATATTAAGATATATACACAAAGATTATATATAATATAATTAGTATTATATTGATATTAATATAATTAATATATATAATCTTTGTGTATATATATTCTTAATTATTGAGCTACTTTAAATAAAGCATGTCAAATCTAAAATTTCTTTAAATTTTTGTTTGTAGTGTTAAAAGATCACTGAAATTGGATAGCCTGTTAGAAGAAAATGTAAGTATTTGCTTAAGAGTTTGTCATTGCATAAGATTGTGTTAACTACTGATTGACCTTGTTAAATATTAAAATTATCAAGACACAATGTGATATAATTGTGATTGGTACATTTTCTGCACATAAGATATTTTCGTTTTTGTGAATCTAATATGCGGAAGTTTCTGGCCAGCTTGAAGTATTCAGTTAAGAAACTAATTACTTAAAAACCTTAATGAAATAATTTAGTAGAAATTAATTCACTATTTGTGGAAAAAAGTAGTCTGCCACTTAAATGTACAAGAAACAATACGGGACAATGACAGTACTTTTAATCTGCATACTATAATCTCCTAAAATGAAATGAAAACATTACCAGCATTTTTATATCAAAAATGTAATTACTTTCCCCAGCTATGCTGGCATGGATTAAACAGCATAATACTAACATTGTAGTACATTGTACCATTGTTATCACAATGAAAATTAAATTGTACTGTTGCCATTACTTTTTGTAAATTTAGTTGTAGCACATTCCCAGTGCCAGCATATCATGACATATGTTAGTTTATTATCTTTTCATACCAACAATGGATCTAGATACAAACACTAATACTGAGAGACTTATGACCTCAGTAATCTTAAATACAGGTAAGTTGGTGAGAAAGTAAATTAAGACAAATAGCTAGTCAATAAATAGGCTCCTCCAAATTCACATATAAATACCATTTCAATAAGTGGGTTTTATATGGAATTTTTCTTTGGAAGACTCACTGGTATTTAACAAAACAGAAATTTACCATTTAGAAAACTTCCTACATGCTTTTTAAAAATTTTTAAACAAAGGTGGCAAAGTACTGCAATGACACTAAAAAAATCATTAACAGTATAATTAGCAATTTAGAATACCATTATCCAACTTGTTCTGTGCAGAATGCAGCTGTGACTGTAATTCTGCATCTGTTTCTTTGGTCAGAATGGTATTTTGGTAGATGAGTAGTCCAGCTTGAAATGAAATACTGTTCTTTCCTGCCCCAAAGCTGTTCTTTGGGAGATGGTAGCTTTGTTTAAATGGAAAAGAATGACCATTTCAGAATTCATTCTCTTCATGAAGTAAATTGTCATCATGGCAGGCTTGCTATGTATTTTTTCTTCAGATGAAGACGTGTCAAGGTAGCCAGTGCCACAGCTAATATCCTGTATTAGAAAAATGCATTGTTATGTTTGGCCCAGTTCTGTACCTTTAAACAGAAATTAAATTGATTTAAGCTTGTACCAACTGATTTAGTAGTACCAATTGATTTAGCTTGATACTACATGGTCACACTTGCCTGAAGGAGGTTCCTAGCCTGGGCCTTTCTATTTCCTGACCAATTTCTGGATTTTCAGCTTTGTCCTCTTGCCTTATCATTTGTTTGTAGCTCTATATTTACATCTTAGAGCTAACAGCTTTTGTTCTATTCTGGTGTTAAGTCTGGGCTTCTCTCCATGGCTACATACACACTTCATCTACTGTAGTAACAATTTAGCCCTGAAGCAACCTGGCTCCCAGTTATCTACCCACGTGGTCCATGGTCCCATTGAGGCTGCCTTCACCCATGTAAAAGAAAACTGGCCTTTAAAAATGTATACCTACAATTTTAGGAGTACAATTGTTATGAAGCTATAGTGGAACTAGTAGTAACTTTGTCATCATTTTACCTTACCAATATGTTGCTGAAGGAGGAAGACTCTGGTGTCTAAGGGAAGGAGATGACCCTTATATGCCAGTTGGTTGAGGTGGAACCTGTTCATCCTAAGCAGTGGCCATATCCAGAGATATCTGGAACTCCTAACTTCCAGTATTCCTAATGCAGCTACAGATCTTCATGGAGATTAATGCTCCATGATGTTTGGACAAGGCTCAAATGCCATTTTCTTATGCCTCTTGATATGGTTTGGCTGTGTCCGCACCCAAATCTCCTCTTAAATTGTACTCCCATAAATCCCATGTGTTGTGGGAGGGACACCCGGTGGGAGATAATTTGGATCCTGGGGGCAGTTACCCATACCGTTCTCGTGGTAGTGAATAAGGCTCATGAGACCTGATGGTTTTATCAGGGATTTCCACTTTTGCATCTTGCTCATTTTCTCTTGCTGCTGCCATGTAAGAGGTGCCTTTTGCCTCCCACCATAATTCTGAGGCCTCCCCAGCCATGTGGAACTATACGTCCAATTAAACCTCTTTTTCTTCCCAGTCTTGGGTATGTCTTTACCAGCAGCATGAAAACAGACTAATGCACCTCTTCTAATGGGGGAAGTAGAAATATGGACCATACCCTGGGTTCTTCCTATAATATATGGAATGTATACTGCCAGTACCACGATTTGCTGAGCCTCACAAATTGTTCAGTCTTGAAAGAAGGTGAACAAGGTTCCATTTTATTATCATCTACAGTATTTGGGCTGCTTGAGTTGTTGCTCTCCAAGCATTGTTTCTAGATAGATTTTCAGGAATAAAGATGAATAATATATTACAAACTGTTGCTGATGGCAGTCCAGATGAATTTATATGGACAACTGGTTACCTGGCCATATACTTATCCAGCTTGACCCAGTCTTTTTCAGGCCACTTCAGAGAAGGAATAGAAGATGCTACAGTTGGAAAGAGAAGAGCATACTTCTTACCAAGGCCAGCTCAACAGTAGTGGTGCAGGTTTTGCTGGGGAGGTTTACTGATTTACATATAGATACCCAGCCTAGAGTACTCCATTTCTATTGATAAGACACCTTTATTTTTTTCTTTGAGACAGGGTCTCATTCCCTTGCCCAGGCTGGAGTATAATGGTGTGATCACAGCTCACTGTAGCCTCAACCTTCTGGGCTCAAGCAGTCCTTTCACCTTAGCCTTCTGGGCAGCTGGTACTACAGGCGTGGACCTCTATCCTCAGTTAATTTTTTGTATTTTTTTTTTTAGTTTCACTACGTCGTCTAGGCTGGTCTCAAACTCCTGAGCTCAAGCAGTTTGCACATCTTGGCCTCCCAAAGTGCTGGGATTACAAGTGTGAGGCACCATTCCTGGCACTAAGACACTTCTAAGTCAGATTATTCCCATGGCCTAATGTCATCTGTCCAATTCTAGAACATTTCTCTCACCCCAAAAAGAAGCCCCATACCTGTTAGCAGTTAGTCTCAATTTCCTCCTCTCCCCATCCCCTGGAAACCACTAATCTATTTTCTGTCTCTATAGATTTTCTCATTCTGAACATTTCATATAAATGGAATCATAATTTTATGTCTGGCTTCTTACATTTAGCATAACATTTTCAAGATTCAATTTACCTGTTTTTTTTCTTTTATAGTCCTTTTAATGTCATGTCCAAGACTGTGTTTAATCCATGAAAACAGATTTTTATCTATGTTTCTTTCTAAGAGTTTTATGGTATTAACTTTTTCATTTAGGTATTCTATTTTGAGTTAATTTTTGTACATTATACAAGGGTACGGACTAGATTCATTTTTTTTTTTTTTTTTTTTTGGAGACAGAGCCTCGTCGCTCTGTCGCCCAGGCTGGAACGCAGTGAGTGGCATGAGCTCAGTTCACTGCCACCTCCACCTCCCAGGTTCAAGCAGTTCTCCTGCCTCAGCCCCAGAGTAGCTGGGATTACAGGCACATGCCACCATGCCCGGCTAATTGTTGTATTTTAATAGAGTCAGGTTTTCACCGTGTTGGCCAGGCTAGTCTCGAACTTTTGACTTCAGGTGATCTGCCCGCCTCAGCCTCCCAAAGTGTTGGGATTGTAGGCATGAGCCACTACACCTGGCCTAGATTCATTGTTTTGCATGTAGATATCTGGTTGCTGAAACAGATACCCACATGTGAAAAAAAAATGAATCTAATCCCTACCATTTGCCAAAACTACTGTTCTTTCCTTTATTAAACGGCCTTGGCACTTTTGTTAAAAATCAAGTGATCATAAATGTATGGATTTATTTCAGAATTCCCAGATAAATTCCATTTGTCTATCTATATATATATATGTGTTTATATTACTACCATGTGGTCTTCATTACTGTAAGTTTCTAAGATTAAAAAACATAAATTTGAAATCAGGAAGTATGAGTCCTCCAACTTTGTTGTTCTTTTTCAAGATTGATTTGGCTATTCCATATCCTTTGTAATTCTGTATGAATTTTGGAATCAGTACACTTCTGAAAAAGAAAAGGAATTGGAACTTTGTTAAGGATTACATCAAATTTGCAGATTCAGTTGGGAAATTTACAATCTTAACAATAATAATAAGTCTTCCAAACCATGAACATGAGATATATTTCTAATATCGCTTGATGTGTTTCAATAATGTTTTATAGTTTTCAGTATATGTCTTGTACTTTTTTGATTAAATTTATCCCTACATATTTTATTCTTTTTATGCTATTATCAATGGAATTGTTTTATAATTTCATTTTTAGATTAGTCATTGCTAATGTATAGAAATACAACTGATTTTTACATATGGATTATATATCCTGCTGTTTGCTGAACTGATTTATTAGCATTAGTAATTTGGGAATTTTCTTTTTTTTGACATGGAGTCTTGTTCTGTCACCCAGGCTGGAGTGCAATGGTGCGATCTGATCTCACTGCAACCTCCACCTCCTGAGTTCAAGCGATTCTCCTGCCTCAGCCTCCCAAGTAGCTGGGACTACAGGCGCGTGCAACCATGCCTGGCTAAATTTTGTATTTTTGGTAGAGACAGAGTTTCACCACATTGTCGAGGCTGATCTCAAAACTCCTGACCTCAGGTGATCTTCCCATCTTGGCCTCCCAAAGTGCTGGGATCACAGGCGTGAGCCATGGCTCCCTGCCCTATTTAGGGTATTCTGTATATAAGTTCATTACATCTGTAAGTAGGAATAGTATCCCTTCTTCTTTTCCAATCTATGCCTTTCATTTCTTCTTCTTGCCCGTTGCTTTGGTCAGAACCTCCTGAACAATGTTAGGTAAAAGTGGCAAGAACAGACATCCTTTTCATCATTAA